CCGTTGTTCCTCTAGTTTTCACGGTTTTGCTCTTGTGAGATGTGTGCGCGCGTGTAAGCTTAGCCGCTTCCAGGTACTCCAGCAGCAGCGGGAAAAGCTGGCTAAGTTGATCCAATTGAAGAAGCTCCAGGATTTGCAAAAGTCCTTGTTGGCCTTACACGCTCTGCAAGCCTCCAAAGCGAATAAGCCAAGCGGCTCCAGTGACCAGATTGAACTTTTTGTGTTGGAAGCAGCTCTTTCTATCTAATATACATGCATGTGTTTGCAACCCGGGCTTGTTGCCCACAACCAGGTATCGACACTGCCGACACGCTGCCCATGGAGTGTGAGGCTGGTGCAAGCCACAGTACAGGTGCTTCATCGAAGGCTCATCTCAATGAGATAGCTTTTGACCATGGCCTGAAGCGTTCTGATGACTCAGCTGAAAGGGAGGGGAACAAACTTCAAGGTTCTGGCACGGGGCTTGAAGGTCTGAAGCAAACCTGTCCAGAGCCGCAGCAGGGCCAGCCTGCAGAGGAGGAAAAACACGTTGAGGCAGAGCAGACTGCCAAAGAGGGAGAGGGGCAGGCTGATGTGAGAGAAAGGGGACACCAAGGTGAGGGCCCAACAGGTGCAATGCAGGTCAATGATGCTGATGTGGAAGAAACGGGTCACCGAGGTGAGGACTCAATGCGTGCTGCTGAGCCAAAGTCAGTGGAGGTTGAGGAGCGGGCAGAGGTGCCTGGAAAACCGCAAGAACCGGAGGTCGTGGCTTTGGATGAGGCATCGAAGGTCGCAGAATACCTGGTGGCAAAGGATGTGTCTGACGCAGCAGCAGCACAGCATGGGCACAACTGCTTGGACTTAGGTTTGCCAGAGGGATGGGGTGGCCTCAAATATTTGTCGCCTGAGCAGCAATCAGCTGCCGTGCCCCGGGCTAAGGCCAAGCCCAAGGCAAAAGGCCGCCCCAAAAAGAACAAGGATGAAGCAAAGCCTGAAGGCAAACGACGAGCAAGAAAGAAGCCTGAGCCAAAGGAGAAAGAGGTAGAGGTTGAGGAGGACGGAGGAGGTGAGGAGGCACAGGCTTGTGGGGTGGAAGCACAGGCAAAAAAGGCAGCGCAGGAAGAGGGAAAGGGAAAGGGAGACGGTCCTGATCCTGGAGAGCGCAGAGTGAGGAGACGGACTGCGCAGGTTGAGGCTGAAGCTGAGGGTGCAAGTGCCAGTCATGGTGGGAAGGTTGCTCGGGCCTCAAAGGCCAATAGAAGAGGAAAGGCCAGGGAAGACCAAGAGGGTGGGCCCAAGAGAAGGCGTACAGTCAAAGACGATCCCAAGGAAGCTTTGCGCAGCAAGGGCTGTTGCAGGTACCAAGAAGTGTACCGGTATTTGACCAAGCATTGTGGTGTGCCCGAAGAGGATGCCAGATATGAAGCCCGAATAGTGTCTCTGCAAACATATGGGGAAGGGATTTCTTTGGAAAAATCTTTCAACATGGATGATTTGCTTTTGCTCTTTCGCCGCATTCCCTCAGAGCAGAGTTTATTATATGCCCCACCGCCTGGCCAAGGTATACCAGGAGGTGATCGCGAGTGAGCTGGGGAGTGGGAATGGCAGCTGAAAGTGATGCCTGATTTGTTTGCGCAGATGGCTTACCATCTGTGGCAGTGGTGCCATGCGCGTACCAAGAAAATTTAGGGGTCTCACAGCGGGCAAGGACAGCTAGCGCACAGCAGCGCGGCTTAGAGTCTTGACAACCTGTTGCGACTCGGGTTTGCTCAAAAATATGCTGGCAAACTGGGAAGACTTTGGCAGCAATTTGTTGCAAGACACAACACTTCTTCCTTCACTATGGCCTGCTCCGGTGCAGGTGGTGGGCAGCAGGAACGCTGGGCATCGAGAATAGCTTCGGAAAGCACACCCGGCTTGGTTGAGCATGGGTGGGTTCGCACTCTTTGAAACTTTCAGGCCATGGAAGTTGGTTCAACAACTTTAGCTTGAGCCTTTTTGCAGAAACTTTTTTGGCTCTGTGTTAAACCGCTGTGAGTTGTCAGCTATGCCGGGAATGCCTTCTGTGCTCATTGGTCTCTACCAGTGCAATGCCCCCAAGGCTCTTCCGTTTGTTGGTTGTGGTCATTGTGGGTTAGGGAGAAAGAAAAATGCATGCGTACATATTGGTTTCAAGCGACCAGGTGCTTGCAGCCTGCGCTTCTTCGCTTCACAATGGGATGTGATAGGGGTACAAACCGCTTGGGTTTCCTTGGTGTGCAGACCTGAGGTATTGCTTCTACTTTGGAGTGGCTTAGACCTAAGCAAACAATACCGTGTGGTCGAATACTTCAGCGGCCGTGCTTGCGTTAGCGCAGCGCTGCGTGAAATGGGTATGGCTGTGGGTTCGTATGACTTGGACTATGGCCAGTCCATGGATTTCCTATCACTAGGAGGTTTCGTGTCACTTGCCCGCACGTGCAAAAAATGTACGCAAGAAACTGACCTTTATGGAGTGAACTTGCCAGAAGCGCTTTGTGTTCCGAGACCTTCCATGTACGTGATCGCTAGTACAAGTTCATGTCTGGTCGTTTGAGGGTAGCAATGGTGTTATCACTTCGCACCGCTGCCCTTGGTCTGCACATCTTCGCTCCTGACTGCAGCTCGTGGACGAGGATAAGCCGCGGCTCCAGCCTGCGAGATCAAGTGTGCGCGACAGGGGATTTGGGCAAACTCTGGATACAGAACGCTAATCGTATGATTTCACGGTTGCTTTGATGAAGGTTGTTGCATACAGGTTCTGAACACGAGGGTTCCTTTTAACTTAAACTGGTCTGGTGCCAAGGCTGACCCTGATGCTGATTATGGCGGCCTCCCAGAACATCTTGTGGTTGGTTGAACAACCTGAGGGGAGCAAGGATGTCTTATTTCGACATCCTCGCCTCGATTTCTTCAGCAATGCTGTAAGCTGGGTTGCTTGGTACCAACTAGGCAGCCAAATGGAAACCAACAGGTCACCGCGGTCATGATCCTCTTTTGCACACAATCCTGGTTCCTTAGGTTTGGAGGAACAGCTTTTGGATGCAGCATTTCAATTCATGTTCTCCCAAAAGAACCGTGACCTGGAGTAATTCCAGGGGAATTGTTTATGGTCTGGTCCGGCACTTAGTCGTCGTAGTTGAGTACCCCACGGTCTCCTGTGTAAGTTTCCCTGCTCTGAGGACAAAGGCGTCCTGCGGGCTTCTGTTCGAGAGATGAAGACAACTGTTCAAACAACTCGAAGCTTTGGTGGGAAAATGGCTTTTTCTTTAGACCACGCAAGACCAACCCCCCAGCTCTACCCTGCATGACCCCACGCAGACTGCTGAGTATGTGGAAGCGAAGACTCGGGGTTGGGAGTGTTTCCAAAGAGATCCATTTGGGATCAATCATGCGCAGACCCGGCTGCCTTTCGGACCTAGGTAAAACCATCAGCTCCTCGGGAAAGCGAAACTTTCAAGGCACCAAGGATCTCAAGGCCACAGCGTGTGAGACTTAGAAATCTTTCTTGCGAGGTTGCTGCTCCTGTTGACTCACACTTGTGCCTACCATGTGTGGGTTATGCCGAAAGAGAAGACCTCATCAAGTATATATATATATATACAAAATACTTTGTATGTTTTACGATCATTTCTGCGCTCCATGCTTCCAACAAGGCATTATACCAAAGATCTGGGTTTTGCAT